GAAAAAAATGGGAAGAAAAGTGTTTTTTTTTTTTTTTTTTGCAAAGCTTTTCGTCATTGCCATATGTACCAGTTAGTATTATTAAAAACAATATTTTATTTATTTGTTTATTTACATATTAATTTCTTCTTTTATCTTAACTCGCTGTATTCAATGAAGAACAGAGGAAATTAATCCAAATTACTTATTGCTCCTTTACGATAGAAAATCACAAAAAAAGTTGCAGTATTAAATAGATAATGGATAAATGGTGAAAAACGTAATCATTTCCATGAAGATTTATTTGCTGTTATTAGCAAATATTTGCTCTAGAACAAAGAGCAAAAAACAATGTACCAATGCTGAATCAAAAAAAAAAAAAAGAATTTAGGGAAAATTAAAGAAACTTCAACTTGTAATGTAGGCATTACCGATCATTTACTGAATGCGCTAGTTTTAGTTTGTCCATTTGCAGACGAACCACAAACAGTACGGTGCTACGTGTGTTATTTACTTCTTTAAATCGCTATAAATACTGATGCACCGAAGCGGCAAACGGGTGTTAAACAGATTTTGCGCGTTAAACGTCGGGCCCGTCCACGCATACGAACAACGATCCGTTTCCTTTTAGTTAACGGTTACTTCACGCTGAAAATAAAAGCTTTGAGATTTTTTAAAAATGGTCGTGTCCCGAAAAGAATACATCTTGTTGGCATTTTGTCAGTTTTTGGTAGTTTGCCAAATAGTGTTGGATTTATAGTCACCACTGTTCGGTTAATAATGTGTCATGAGCCGGAACGGTTTCGACAGTTATCTTTCAGCGATGTTCACAGCATAATGGACGTCCTGGTTAAAACTGCAGCATAAGCACTATGCATGTTGCGATATTCTAATCTGGTCGCCCCCTCTAACGCCTTCAAGACCCTTGGCAGCGGTCAGTTTTGGACTGGACAAACTGAACAGTAAGCCTTATTTTTTTGTACTTATTTTACTGCATACGGTAAAATTCCTACAAAATTGATTTCTCTCATTGTGTGGACAGTGTAAGTTTCAACGTCACCTGGTATTAATTTTTACCAGTTTGGTATTCAGATTTTAGACTTGTACGGTAATATTTTGGTGAGTTTCTTTCAATTAATAGATTTTTTCATAATTGTATGGTCTTCCAATCTTCATAGTTAGTTCACAGGGCGCTAAAAAAGTTAAATTTGAAAAGATCTTATCTCTTGAGAGAATCACTAATTATCAACGAATATTTCTTTAACATTCTAAATAAAATGTTAATAATTTTGGTTTTTTAATGATGAATTTCAATAGAGCTATTGCAATAGAAGGTTTCCTCAAATGGTTTCTAAAACTCTTCCTTCATTCTAGACTTTATTTGAAAACGTGTAGTTAACACATATACTTAATTTTCTAAGCTGAACAAATATTTTTTTTTGTAAAGCTTTTATAACCAAAGGAATGCCATGACAAGAAGGTATTTGCGGCTGTTTTCGGCCGCATTAGCAGCCATATTCGTATTTTTGTTGTTGGTATATTTTACTTCGTCCGGACCATCATTATCTCCCTTCAGATCCGAGCTCCGTAAGTTACACTCCTTTTGATATAATTTTTATTCCGCTATGTCTTGATTTTTTTGGTGGACGTTTCAGAATTGATCTTCAAAAACTGCCTACAAAACCTCCAGTTTCGAAAACTTAATGGTATATAATTGTTGGAACTTCGATTTTTTAGAACGAAGGAGACGTAAAAAATTTTAGTATATTTTTGATATTTGAAAAAAAAAAATATTCGGGTTTAGTGGTTTGGGTAGCACAGTGCATGTTTACAGTATATAAGCATGGATTTGTTTACTTACAGAGACTGATTTGTTTGAATGGAGTTATGGTGTCATCATTGATGCCGGCTCAACTGGATCTCGTCTTTTTTTGTACAAATGGAAGGTAGTATCAGAAAATAAACTAATCGATATACATCCGGTTTTCGATAACTTCAATCTTCCTGTTGTAAAAAAAGTCACTCCTGGACTTTCTTCTTTTTCTGATTCTCCAGACAGCGCTACGGGTTTGTTTACAGCTTTTAAATAATCAAAAGGAAAGGTTATTTGAGGCTTGATGATATTGGTTATCATCTAGTTTAGGTTACATGAAGCCTTTATTCGATTATGTAAACAGTTATGTGCCTGAAACTAAGGTACTTTATACCCCTGTCTTTATTTTTGCTACTGCTGGTATGCGGCTTCTCTCATTAAGGTTTCCTTTCTTTCGTATAATAACTTCTGTTTCATGTCTGTATCTGGAAATAAATGCTTTATTTGCGGTTATCTTCAAAAGTAGCTAGTTTAATTGACGATTAAAATATACAGTTTCATTTTCAATTTCCTTAGAAGCTATGTTTACTTAAAGCTATTGATTGTTCAATTTTTTTAGCTCTCAAGAAGCCATACTGCAGAACTTACGTACTAATCTTCCTTCAGTAACGCGCATGCATATTGTACCGGAAAACATTCGAGTTATAGAAGGAAAGTGGGAAGGAATTTATTCGTGGATAGCTGTGAATTACATCTTAGGGAGGTAAATAGTAATTTTATTTTTCTTCTTTTTCTGGTCATTTTGAACACCCTATCAGCTTAAATAATTTTATCTTTAGATTTGATGAAAACATATCTGGCAGCCATCGGAAGTCGACTGTTGGTATGGCTGATATGGGGGGTGCATCAGTTCAAATTGCTTTTGAAGTTGGTAAAAAGGATTCCACGTCGGGAGGGGGTTATGAAGAAGTGAATCTTGGCTGCACGAATGACGATTTGTACAAGTGCGTGTTTGGAAGAATTTTCGGAAAAGTGACTTTGATCTTTCCTGTGAAAACGAGTTGTCGTTCGAAATTTTTAGGTATCGCCTGTTTGTAACTACATTTCTTGGTTATGGTGTTAATGAAGGGCTACGGAAGTATGAGCAGTCACTTAATCGTTCTATAACATTTGATAACGATACTGCACCAGTGATTGTAAAGGATCCATGTTTGCCATTGAATTTGGTCAAAAGAGTTGGGGCAAAAAATTCCTCCTATTTTATACGAAAGGTAGAAAACGCAGCAAGATAATGTGACTTTACGAATTTTAGTGCTTGAATTCATTATACCGATTTGGGGAAATTACAGGGCACTGGTAACTGGGAAGAATGTTTCCTGGACGTTTCAAAACTAATCACAGAAAGTTCAGAACCGCAGTGTTACAAAGAAAAGTGCTATTTGGGGAAAGTGGTCGCACCTTCACTGTCATTGTCGTCCATAGAACTCTACGGTTTTAGCGAATATTGGTTTTCGTTGGAAGATGTTCTTGATCTTGGTGGGACATATAACTTCTCTGCTGTGGTCACAAAAGCTAGGAGATTTTGTAGACAAAAGTGGGCAAACATACGTGTAAGCGCAGTTTTAAAGACGTTGTATGCATTACTAACTTTTTTTTATTTCCCGTTTGGAATTTCC